AGATAGATACATACATACATACATACATATATAGATACATAGATACATAGATATAAATTGCTATCGACAGGAGGGGGAGGGCAGGGAGTGAGGAACACAGGGTCAGGACAGAGGGGACGCGCAAGAAGGGGAAGGAAGGATAGGTCAGCAAACAGGCTGTGGAAGCGGGTGAGAACAGCAAGGGGCTATTCATGGAGGGCAGACAAGGATGGCCTGCAGGGCCAGGTACAGAGAAGGCAGTGCAGCAGCACAAGGCACAAGAGGGGGAGGTGGGAGAGCTTGAGGGCTGGTGCCTCAGCGTCTGCATGAGTGGACAGCAGGAGTGAAGGAGCTGTTCGGTGCAATGAGGGATGCAAAAGCTGCAGGGGGAGGTGGGAGCAAGCAGCACTGGAGAAGGACAGCAGGAGAGATGGGGAAAGCCCAGCCGTGCTCTGGTGCATTGTTTTTAATGTGCTCTATGGCAATTGGACCTGTTCCTGCAGCGTGGGACTGAGCTCAGTATGAGTCAATGCATCTGTCTGACAAGCTGTTCTCAGGAGCCATGACTGAAATAGCCACTGTCCCATGCCTGAGGACAAGGTTGTGCAGCCCTCTTTTTGCTTGTCTGTAGTTTTGCCTGCAACTCATCCAAATAAACGTTAAACTATGAGCTTTGTCCTGCAGGGGAGCAAGCACCACCTGCCACGGTTTGCTCATGTCCTTTCAGCAATTGTGACAGTGTGCCCCAAGTGTGGAAATGTGAGAAGCAGAACAAAGTCCTCTAGTCTGCTACTTGAAATAGTTAATTGCTTGGAAAGGCAAAAAGGACACTTAGAAGAGTTTCCTCTTTTCAAACCAAGAAAATAGGCCTCCCAAGTTAGGGAAGATTGAAAGTCTTGTCTGCAATCTAGCTGCTGCTGAGTAGGCTCTATCCTGCTCAAAGCCAGGAACCTGGGTGCCAAGATATACAATGACAGAGTGAATCCTGCTCCTATAAAATGGGCACTTCCAGTTCTCATTTTCACTCATTAGCTCAGATCCTGATTGAGTGATGAGTTTTCATGGCCCATTGGTGAAATAGTTTATTTCCTGCATACAGGATTTCAGCAGGGTGTTAGGGAAGAGAGTCTGGGTCTTCTGTTAGAAGGTGGCAGAGCATGTCATCAAGTCATGGGATCATAGAATAATTTAGGTTGGAAAAGACCTCTTAGATCATCAAGTCCAAATGTTAACACTAAATCATGTCCCTAAGTGCCATATCTACATATCTTTTAAATACCTCCAGGGATGGTGACTCAACCACTTCCCTGGGCTGCCTGTTTCAATACTTGACAACCCCTTCCATGAAGAAAGATTTCCAATATCCAATTGGAAGATTCATCCTAAACAGCAGGCAACGAAGTCAGTGTAAACCTGCCCTCCTGCACTACATATGGTTCACGCTCTACTCTCCTGCCTTCTGTGATGGAAGGAAGTCCACTGTGCCACCTCGCTAGCACAAGGTCTCTTCCTAAGCTGTTTGTAATGCTGTTCTTGAGAACATAGCCTGGGACATATAACAGGATGCTCAGACTCCTATTTTTTTTTTCATTTTTTTTAAAGAAGATGTTACAGAAATCTGAACATGTAAAGTGCCTGAGAAAGGGGACTGTGGAATGGGAACAAAATGTTTCAGGCAAGAATGCTAATAACAGGAAAACACAATCACTCCTGTCTTTGCTGCAACAGTTCCTTTTGGCAGTTGAAACCTGTGATCTGAAATGTTGCTGTGGTGGGAAGCTTCAGCTGTGGCTAATGGACCACAGGAACTGAGCCCTGACCAGTTGAAGTGCTTACATAATGCAAAATACTGCCAGAAAGGGAATCCGAAACTCCAAATTAGTGAATACTTTCAACCTTAAGGTGTCTGTACCTCTGTTCTTTTTCCTCACAAAGGTAGTCAGAACTTCGTGTCCCCTGAAATGGCCACTGGATAATTAAAGACATTGATAGTCTTATTATGCTGAAGAACAGGGGCAAAACAAAATGCTGAAAGGCTGTTAAACGTGTATGATGTCTCCCATGCACTGAAAGAGTAAAGGTTCTGGGTGCTTATGGGTCTAGGATCAAAGTATATGATTACAGAACCATGGAATTAAGGACTATGTTTCAGCGCTCATCAGCAGGAAAGAACAAATACTATTCCCACATTTTCTGATCTGTGAATACTTAGCTTAGTCTTAGCATCTTCTTTGTGTGTGTAATTGGCCATGTGCTACAGCCTTATTGCTTTTATTAAAATTGTCCTAGAGAGGGATTATGGGTCTTCACCCTTGACCATTCCCTTGTAAAGAATGAGTACTAAATTACCATGAGTGGCATATAAGATCAAGAAAGGACATCAACCACTCATAACCTCACCTAATTGTGCCAGTTTCCCCCCTACTTCAGGGGACACATGTACAAGAAAATACCTAATCCATGTTTAGTAACATCTTTAAATTATGTCATGGCTAAAATGGACATCACTGACATTTTATGTGCAGAAAAACAGCACCACCAGCCCAGTGTTGTATCCTTGCCTCAGCAAGGAGTAGCATTGAAAGTAATATTCATGCTGTCAAATCTTCCTTTGGAATATTATTTTAGAAGTGAGCAATGCATGTTGCTTCTTCAAGTTCCTTCGAGTTTGGAAAATTTGATTTATATGTAGAAAATTTCACATAGATAATTCAGATATCAGTACATTTGTACTTTGTATTACAGACTCTTAGCCCAGGAAAATTCAGAGACTTACAGATTTTGTTGTATCTGAGAAAACAGGAAAAGCAGAAAGCTCAGAATTTTTTGTGAAACAGTATATTTCAATAAATTTCATTTTTAACATAATCTTTTTGCTTTTAATATTGTACATGTCAGTGTTGTACATATCAACATTGAACTAATAAAATATAGTGTATTTCTAAAAACGTTTTGGTTTCAATCAGGATTTTCCTACAGAAAATTTCCTAACCACCTCCATCAAAAAATGTGTACAACAAAATGTTGTCTGCAAAAACACACCCCAGAAAGATAATTTTGTTGTGCTGCTTCTCTGGCTAACTCCAATGATAACGATGTGAACCTTTGTCCTAGACATACTGAAGAAATAAAAATGCTTGGAGTGTTGTTATATACAATATCAGCTGTATCTAAAAGCACTGGTGATGCAACGCTAAAATTAAAAAGGTACTTATTATTTTTACTTATTTTTTTCTGCTCTTTCATGCTTTGCAGAATTTGGCCCAGGCTTCATTCTGCAGGTGCAGCTGAAAGAGCGAGCAGAACTTTCTACTGACCCACTGACTTGTCTATACACAGTTGGTGTGTCATTGTATCTTACACTGTCAAGGTAATTCTCTTAGCTCAGTAAGCCAAGCATCTTCCTCCTTTTTATTTAATCCAAAGATTTGGCCAATATAAATGACCTGCAAATATTTATTTGTTTTAAGATGTACAATATTCCTCAATCTGCTTAATTAATGTATTTTGTGTGTTAGAGAAGACTAAGCTTATGAACTTTCATCCCAATTCTTGAGCAAGATAACTGCATGATATTCATATAGACAGATAATCAAAGGAAAAATATAATTTCTTTCTCAAATCTATGTGAAAACCAAGCTTAATCTCCTTTCTCCATTGTCAGTAAAGCAGTATGCACAATAATAAAGCTAAGTAAGCAGTTTGGCTAAACATCATACATCAGTTCATGTGTCCAATCCATATGAATCAAAAAAAGGTGATGGACAAGAGCAGTACTTAAATTATTTTCACTTACATTTTCATTAAATATTGGTTTGACTGTCTAGAATGCACTGTGTGTAATCATTTCAGAAGGTTGATATATGTTGTTATAAATGCGTTCCTACTTCTCTGTACCAAAACCAACTTTCTCTCTGTCCTTCTCCCTTCTCTCTTTCTCGCAACATGGGTTTGCAGATATTGCTGGCCTTCATATTTCAGAAAACTTTTCTAGTTCACCATCATTCACTGATAATAGAGAAAAATCAGAAACAATGCAAAGTTTAACCTTTTTTTCTGTAGTTTCTTGCACAGGAACATACCTGTCTATAAAACTAATATAATCATAATATATCATGTGTTAACAGAAATGATAATGTGATAGACATGTAGAATAAAGAAATGAAGGGCACGCTCCAGCTGGACACCAGTCAGTGACAGCAGGCAATAGCCATTAATAGAATAACCACTAGAGGCCTTCAGTTGCTTGGGCTGTCAGAAATGATGAAGGCAGAGCCCTGCTGCCCACCCAGGGCTTGTTCCCCCTAAAGTTCTGGGGGAGTCTGCTCACTCCTCCCAGCAGAGTGCAATTCTCTGCATGAAAAAAATTTCACAGGAGCTCCAAATGGGCAAACCAAACTAATTCTCCCTCTGATCATCCTAGAAAAAATAAGGGAATTAATAAATAATCCTGTGATTTGTTACAGGCACAATGTGACATTATGGGAACAGTGCTCCCCACAGGTGCTGGCAGGCTGACCTCCTCCCCTCGGCTGCCTCTCCAACAATCCCAACCGCCTGCAAACACCTTGGCGGGATAACAGCATGGTTCCACTAGAAAACCGTGAAAGCAAGAGGAAGTCTGCTGAACAATGGCAAGGGTGTTTTACTTCCAGCCCCTGGGACAGCTCAGGATTAAATGGATTTTCATTGTTCTTTCCCTCCTGCAATTTGGACACAACATTGGTGTAAGTGCACCCGGGGTTTTATTTGCTGCTGCCCCCCCGTCTGCGAGGTTGGTATTCTCCCACTAGCTGCCTGCTCTAAATATGGCCATGGCCAGTGTGTCAATAATCCCCCTCTTTAAGGGACCCGCAAACACTAGTGTTGGGACATTCTTGCTGTTCAGATGTCTAGCTGACGTCTGATGCTTAAAACAGAGCATGCTTTCATCCCTTCGTGCATTGTCGTAAGCCCCTGATGATTACTCTTAAAAGGGTGCCTCTGCTATGCAGGGAAACAGTTGCTGACCACACGAGACACAGCTTGCTCACTTGCTTCAGCCTTCTTGAATGCCTGGTCACTTCAACTTTGTACCAGCCTGACCAAGCAGGACCATGTCTACCTTTGGCTACAGAAGAGAGCTCAGTAAATATGAAGACATTGATGAAGATGAGCTCCTTGCTTCTCTCACTGAAGAGGAGCTGAAGGAGCTGGAGCGGGAGCTAGAGGACATAGAGCCCGACTGTAACCTTCCAGTGGGGCAACGACAGAAAAGCCTGACGGAGAAAACACCGACAGGGACTTTCAGCAGGGAAGCACTGATGGCCTATTGGGAGAGGGAGACCAAGAAACTCTTAGAAAAAGAGAGGTTGGGTGCATGCGACAAGGTAAGATGCCAAGGCATTTGCTGTTTCCTATAAATATTTGGGGTTATTCTTCATTGGCATGATCTTGCTGACTGATTTAATTTCCTTTCAGTCTCTTGTAGCATTTTTAAGAACACTGTTAGCCATACTTCTGTGCCTGCTAAAGCTCTGTGTAGTAGCTCAGACAGTTTTTGCTCTTTCTGGAGGTACCTTAAATGCTCTGTTCAGAACAGAAGAAAGTGCCATAAAAACTATCATTCATGATAAAAATAGGAAAAAAATTAAAGGGCATGTTAAAAATTATCAATTGGTAGCAATATGGGCTTTGGATAGCATTTGATTTTTTAAAAAAACTACAGAAAGTGCCTTTTCCTTTTCTTAAAAAACAATCAGTACTGGCTGTGCAGAAGCACATCAGGAAGATAATTTTGAATACATGTTATGTCAGAAGTTTAGTAAGCGGACACCAGACTTTGTACTCACTGGAAGGAAGCTGCATTGCAGTCAGGAGCTTGTGTTGCTTTGTCCCTGCTGAGGAGCCTTGGCACAGCTTGGGAGTCTTCTAACAACTGTTGTCAGTGTTACATTATTTAAAAAGTGGCCTGATCAGCTGAACCATCTAACTGTATTCCCCAAAAAATGCCAATAGTGTTTGTTAGGCAACTCATTCCCCAAAATAAAAAAGTTAATAATAAAACCCGGTCCCTGAACTAGAAAGGAACATTACAGCTGGTCGGGAGTGAAGGGCTCAGTCTTGGCAAGCAACAAGCACTCTGTCTCAGATAATGTCCATGTTGGCACCACTGGGTCCTTGCTAAAAGTATTTGTGAGACTGAGCTCAGTCAAAAAACAACTTCTGTTTTCACAATGGCTCTGTGTGGGGACAAGGGAATTTTTAAGTGCTGCTTCATACCAAGCTCTGACTCTGTTTATAGGAACCTGTTTTCTTATGTTTGAATAGAAAATAATGCAACAAAGGCAAAGTCAGCAAAAGCAGACTCAGAACCTCTAACAGCCCTATTCAGGAGTTTGGTTCATTTGCAAGGAAATAATTGCAGTCCATACATTAGCTAAAATATCCTTCTAGAGAAATGTCAGATGGACTAAAATACCCTGCAATATCCAGGACATTTTTTTTTACATATGTTTTCTCCTGCTTGTGAATGGTGGTATAATGTCTTTGCAGGCAAGCGCACAGACCAGTAGCTGTCATCAGACCATTAGTGTCAGCTTGCAGTCGTTGACTTCACTCCCTGTTTGTCAAGTCCTAGGGAGGCAATGGCAAGATTAATGTTTATTTCCAGCTAAGCCTGGAACTCGAAACCTGGGCACTTCCAAAAAACCTTCTGAACGGGTCTAGTTCTGTGTCTTATATAACGGCAGGATCTTTCTTTCCCCCCTCCCCCATATTTATACAGCATTAATGATGGGTTATGGCTAAACCTTGAAGTGCTGGCAAGCACATCTGTACTTTTTGATCTAAGAAGAAACTTCCTAAATGCATCCTTAAATAAGAAAATGTTGACATGCTAAAATAGAGGGCACAAAGGTTCTCTTCACTGAAGGCAGTAAGAAAGCTCCTTGAAAGCAATTTTCTTCTTGCTTTCAACTGCCTGGAAGTTAGACACCTTTATCTAAGATGGTTACTTGTGCTCCTTCTATAGTTAGTGGTGAGAGATCAGCTGCTCCAGAAGGCAAACAAGCTGCAGATAGCCTTTTAGGGGGAATAACTTGTCCTCCAGAGATATTTACCTCTGCATTGACTATCTTAGCCCTAAATTTTCATCGAATTATTACTACAATATAAGGTGAAGCCCCGCAGACTGCCTGCAGCAGTCCTGTACTGCAATGCTACCATAGTAACAGAGTACATCTCTGTGGATCTGCAAAGAGAAGAGTATTCGATTTTAAAATTATTGTGCAGATTGCTGTGACACCAGACAATGTGTGTGACAGGAAACTAAACTACCCCTTTGGCCCCAGAAATGCCAGTCAAAAAAAGCCCAAAAAATCAAACCCAAGTATTTTTTTATTAGTCTAGTGACATCAAGCATATTAACAGTGCATTTAGAGGCACCACCTTCTGCTCATCTGCAGCTGTGTTGAAGGCTGTAGTATATATTCCTAGAGAGAGAAAAGCAAAGCCATGAAGATTGATTCCTGGATACCTGGTGTTTTCAGGTTTTAAAACTCTACACATATATAGAAGCTATAGATATAAATCTTAGTCCCAATAATAAACCTATAGGTAGCACAGTATGTCTCAGTCTCTCTGCATAGGGGCCTTCCTGGAAAAGGAGGCCCCTTCTCCACAGGAGAAGTAAAGGGGCTGGATCCTGAAGACCTCAATGTGCAGGTCAATGTGATGGGACCCTGCAAACCCCCCAGGTGCTGAATGCTCAGCTCAGGAACATCAAGTGGGAACAACTCAATGTCCTGTTTCGTTATGAGTCACAGTTCTACCAACATTACAATTAACATCTGTTTTACATGTGTCCCAACACAGAATTCTGCTTAAGATTGTGAAACAGTACAATGCAATCTGTCACTACTGTTATTTCAACCTTTCCCTGTATTTTCAGAGCTAGATAATTAAGCAAACCTAAAACTACACAGGTTGTCTAAAAATAGGCTGTCCTGTTAGTAACACTTCTGTTTTTCAGAAACCGAATTGGTGTTTCTCTGCAGAGTATATTTACTTTGGAAAATACCCTCTAGTATTTTACAAACATTAAAAACCCCATTAAACCCCACGAACATTGCTGACGTAATGCATACTGAACAATTATATTTCATCCAAAATTTTATAAACATTTACAATGGTAAATAAAAAGGCATAAGCTATGGCTTGTCCAGTAGGAAAAATATGACATGAGAGATCTTTTGGGGCAAAAGGTGGGTGGTACCCAGATCAGTCTACAGCACATAGATCAGTCATGGCCCATAGATCCCTGCTGCACTACTCGAGTCTTCCAGGTGGAGAGTGAGGCTTTCCTGGAGCAAAGACTTTTCCCCATTCCTGTGCAGAGAATTCTCTTTTGCCACCATAACTGCTAAGGGCACCAGGCAGAGCTTTAAGACATGGTTCCAAATCTGCCTTCCTGGTACCCACCAAACACACTAAAATAACTTTACATTTCAGAAAAAAATCCATTTACTCTGTAGTGAATGAATTATAATGACTCACAGTACGGCAGCTGGCCTGCAACAGCTGTTGGTGAGCACAGACTTAGCTCTTGGCAAACATGAAGAAATTTGGGGCTTCTTGACATGTTACCTTGCATTCCTTATTTTCTGTGGAAATGCATCTGAATCCTTTCTTCACAAATAGTTTCTAAGTACATACAGTCCATGCAGTGCATCCAGAGTCTTTTTGACATGACTCCTGTAATACTGAATTGTTTTGCATACTGGTATACATGATTACACATGCAGACACTATTTATATATTAAATCATGGCAATTTTTAACTTTTTTAGATGTACTAACATATGCAAGGGAGTCTGAGCATTGACAGAGATGTCTAATCCTCATGAAATGAAGAAGCTTGTTGCTCATATCCATTCTGAAATTGTTGTCTTGTGTTTCTGCTGGCAAGGGTACAAATTATATCTCCTTGCAGACATGCCAACACAGAAAATTGTGAAGTATGTCCACGTTGTAATATCTTGTATCAAGTTTTCTCTTGGTAGAAATTACTGCCATTGGTTAAATGGTTGCAATTTATGCTGAACATTTCTAAAGAATATGAAAGAAGTAATGTTAAAAAGGTCTTAGGTGCTGCAGCATTTTCTGTTCTCCTAACTGTATCCGTTTCTGGGGATTTATTTTTAGGTTTCAATGTTAACATATAGTCTCAATATAATTGTTATTATGCTAAAAGGCAGTAGCTATGTTATTTCAGTCATGTTTAAGACTCATACCTACATTCCTGTTCAGGATTCTGAGCAAGAAGAAGACAATTCAGAAGAGCTGCAAGAAGAATGTTTCACAGAAAGCAATAGTGAAGTGTCTGAGGAAGCATATACTGAAGAGGATGATGAAGAAGAAGATGATGAGAAGGAAGATGAAGATGAGAGTGATGATGAGAATGAGCAAGAGCAAAATGCTGCAGGTGGTGAAAGACCTGAGAATGGCAGGAATTCTGACCACATCAGACGCAAAAAGTGTAATGGCGCAAAAGACAATGAAAACTTACTCAATGGCCATGATGGAAAAGACGATAGTCAGAGCTTAAAAAGTAGTGCCATTCACCCTTGTGGAAATCCAACAGTTATTGAGGATGCTTTGGAAAAAGTTAGGAGCAATGACCCTGACACCACAGAGGTCAATCTAAACAACATTGAAAACATCACTTCACAGATGCTTATACAATTTTCTCAAGCCCTGAGGGACAACACAGTGGTTAAGTCATTCAGCTTGGCTAACACCCATGCTGATGACAATGTGGCAATAGCTATTGCTGGTATGTTAAAGGTAAATCAGCATATAACTAGTTTGAATATCGAGTCAAATTTTATCACAGGCAAAGGCGTGCTGGCCATCATGAGAGCTTTGCAGAGTAACAAAGTTCTAACAGAACTGCGGTTCCACAATCAAAGGCACATCATGGGCAGCCAGGTGGAAATGGACATAGTTAAACTGTTGAAAGAGAACACCACTCTGGTCAAGCTGGGGTACCACTTTGACCTTGCTGGCCCAAGAATGAGCATGACAAGTATCCTGACAAGAAATATGGATAAACAAAGGCAAAAGCGTATGCAGGAGCAGAGGCAACAAGAGCCAGGTTGTGATGGAGCCATCAATCCAAAGACCAAAGTCTTGCAGAAGGGAACACCTCGATCCTCACCTTATGTGTCACCTAAGAGCTCACCATGGTCTTCTCCAAAGCTTCCTAAGAAAGCACCTCCAGTGAAAAGTCAGCCTCCAGCTCCAGCTCCTGCACCTCCCCCTCCTCCACCACCCCCGCCCCCACCTCCTCCTCCCCCAGTTATTCCAGAGAAGAAGGCACCAACCAGGAATATAGCTGAAGTCATCAAACAGCAAGAAAGCGCAAAAAAAGACTTACATAATGGACAGAAAAAGAAAAAAGGCAAAAAAAGTAGAAAACATGAGAACAACATATTGAAAGAAATTAAAGATTCTCTAAAATCCATCTCAGACAGAAAATCAGAGGAAGGTTCACGACCCTCCACCCGTCCATCCACCCCACAAAGGTCTCTCCATGACAACCTTATGGAAGCGATTCGGGCAAGCAGCATAAAGCAATTAAGGCGGGTAAGTGAGAGATCCTTGTTCAGTAACTGATCGTGGCCCAAAAATAGCACAAGCTCAGGTAATTTTAGTACATATATTTAATAAATGAAAATTCTTAGAAATGTGAGCATAATAAAGCACTTGAGAGGAGGCTTTCCCCTGATCAGGCTTTTCTCAGCACACTGATTTCTCTCCAACTGTGAAAGTGGGGCACTTTCCCAGGTTCTGTCTTGTTATGGGAGAGGGTGGATAGCACACGGCTCTTGGGAGTGTATGTCTGGTAGGAATGTTGCCATCCAGACTGTACAACAAATGTAGTGAACACCCTTCCCATCCCTGTTTCATAGGTGGAGGTACCAGAAGCCCTTCGGTGAAAGCCTGGATGACAGAAGAAGCAGAACCCTGCAGTGACTGAGGGGAGGCTTCTTGTCCTTTCATTGGCAGTAACATAGACTGTCTAGCAAGCTGCTTCCAAAGTACACTCTTAGATTCAAGCCGTTTCCCTTTTATTTCAAAGAAATAAAACCGCTAAATACAAAATAATGCTTTAAGGATCCATTTACCTTGTAATCTGTAAATATGGAAATAATTTTCTTTTTTATTTAATGAGATTTCTATTGAGAAATTGCTTCTTATTTAGATATTCTTGTCAATATCTGATTGCACATCACTTGGCAAGTTCTTCACACTGAGATGTAATAGTTTAACAGCCTGTGGTTTCTTCTGGTTTTTCCATGAATTTACAATAAATGTGGTTTGAAGCTTTCAAGCAGACACATAGTCCTTTATTTCTGTGAGTTAAAACCCACCAGACATTTGCATCACGTTCATGAGCATTCAGGAAGTCTCCTGGGAAAGAACCTGAGATCCTTCTCCGCTGCACCTGTGCCTGTGTGGAGTATAGTACCTGAGCCCATATATTAGTGCAATTCCATACTGACATGGGAAAAAATGATTCATAAGGCTATGTACAACTAAAACTAAGATATGGGCTGTGTCAGGTCATTGGTGTTGCATTACGGGTCCTAAACCTTGGTCTAAGAGAAGAAGTGGGAGATGAATAGATACGTGGTTCGTGTTGACTTATGGGTTAAATATTAATGCCGATATTTTATGGTTGCAGAAGAATTACTCAATTGAGATCCATTCAGTCCACCTGCTGTATTTAGGCAGAACTAACCTCAGCTGAGATATCCAGTCAGACAGAGAAACTTGAAAAGCAGTCTGCCATTCAGGTGGAAAAAGGCTTTCCTATGGTATCAGTTGAACAACAAGCAGGGTGTGAACTGTCAATATGATACAGTGGAAGCAGAGCCAACATCATTTGGAGATGCATGGCTGGAGGTATCACATCACAGGCAATGGCATGAATAGCCCTTCCTCATGTAGCACTAGACATCTCCCTGGTCAGATTAGTTATGGTTCTGGGTGCTTCAGCTAGTGTGAAGGTAGTGATAACATGAAGAAAACTGAGTAGCGGCCAAAATGTTGAAAGGTGAGAGAAGAGATATGTTCAGAAGCACTACCAAGTATTAATTAGTTTGCTCATTGCAACTATAAACAACAGAATTAGTATTTCTTTTACATAATACCACATCAACGAAAGTAATTACATAAAGTTACTCAACACTGCAAAAAACAGTGGTACTGAAAAAAACACAGGTAAGCTTGCTCCTAGAAATATTAATTAGACAGATTTCCCCAGAAATAGGAACAAATTGCTGGAGGGAAATGAAGCATAAGGGAGAGGGAATCCTTTAATGAATTGTCAGGAATGTAACTGTCATAGCAAGAAAATGGTGAAAATAACTTTTTGCATTTGTATTTATTGACTAAAACATACCAAAAGCAATATATAACTAACTGAAACACATTCCAACATTTTTTTTCTTGCCTCAGGATCACAACAACTCATGAGTATTTCTAGACCCAGTGTCACAGGAAATATGGTACGTACAATTAGTCTTTAGCTGCCTTTATAATTGGATAGGCTCCCATAGCATAAAAATCAACCTATGGTCAGTTTTCCATGACCAAATGGAAGCTGGGGCTTGGGATCTTCTGAGGATGGAAGCAATACTGGAATGCAGACAACAGTCAGGAGTAGACCTGTGGCCCTAAACCTTGTCTCTAGAAACTTTGTGAAGGATGAGAAACATCCTGGATGTTTAATCAAATGGCAAAAGCAGATAAGCAAGGGAAAATAAAAGATAGGGAGGGAAAGCAGGAAAAGCACAATGGAGAGGATTTGATGGGACACAAGAAAATGTTTTTAAAAACTGAAATCATACTTTTAAGGAAAAAGGGAGAGTGAGAAGTGAGGAAAGGGAGGTGAAAAATTATATAGAAAAAGAAGATAGAAAAGAAAATGAATGCTGAAAAGTGACAGATGAGAGAAGAATGTGGAAGAAGAAAAAAGCCTAGAAAAAAAGGAAAAGGGAAGGTAGAATTCATCTTTCAGGTTGGTAAGAGTTACTCTTTTGCAGAAGGGGAGGCTGATGGGCAGAGTCCTTAAGAAAATTTGGCCAGGGCTCCTGACTGTGGAGGCTGTGAAGTGGCCATCAGCCCTCTCAGGTGGGAGCCCTGCTCTGATGTATTGTAAAGTAATGGAGATGGTGACCACGTGTGGATACTGAAGCTCCTGGAGCACACATGCTCACGAAGCGTCAGTCCTGTGCCTTAGCAATGCACAGCCAGTGCTATGCCCCCATCAGAACTGGACACAGGAGCCCCAGGATGCAGGTACGCTCCTCATTTGGACTTGTAAGGCTCTGGCAGTGGGTGGCCATCCATTTTCTCTCAATCAGAGAAACAAACACACCAAAATCTGTCATCCATGCCGTGTAAAATGGAACAACTTGGCACCTCGAATCCTCTGCCCCTCACTACAAGAAGGATATTGACATGCTGGAGCATGTCCAAGGAAGGACAACACAGCTGGTGAAAAGGCTGGAGCACAAGTCCTCTTAGGAACGGCTGAGCGAGCTGGGGTTGTTTAGCCTGGAGACAAAGAGGCTGAGTGGAGACCTTATTGCTCTTTACAAGTGGCTAAATATGAGGTTGTAGCCAGGCGGGGTTGGTGTCTTCTCCCAGGTAGCAAGTGATAGAACAAGAAGAAATGGCCTCAAGTTGCACCAGGGGAGGAAAGAAAACTTTCTTCACCAAAAGGGTGGTCAAGCATTGGAATAGGCTGCCTAGGGAAGTGGCAGAGTCACCATCCCTGGAAGTGTTCAAAAAATGTGTAGATATGGTGCTTAGAGACATGGTTTAGAGGTGGACCTGGCAGTGCTGGGTTAAGGGTTAGACTCAATGATCTTAGAGGCCTTTTTCAACCCTAATGATTCTGTGATTCCATAAAAGAGCTGACCTACCAAGCACCAGAAATATCAGAGCCTGACTGCTACCTGTAATTCCAGTATGTGGCCCTTTAATTCGTGCCTCATCACCTAGGGAAGTATCCAAGTATACAGAAAGAAAAGGAGCTCATGAAAGTCCAAGAAATTTTATTTCCACATCTTCTGGAAGTTTCCTGCCTCCTGCTGAGTCCCCTGTTGATGTTCTGGATAGTGACCCACTTTGCTGGTATTTGGCTGAGGGCAGAGGCGCTGGTCTGACTGCCCTGCAGATGTGCTTCCTTCCCACCAAACAGGGCAGGTGGCCCTGGAGGCTCCTGCCAGGTGAAGCCACATCCATTTCTGGAGGCTGAGTCTGGGAGAGCCAGAGAGCTGGTCCAGGACAGCCCCTGCATGGTATGGTGGGAGAATGGATATCCTGTGAAGCTGCAGGCAGAGGGAAGCAGGAAGGTATGGCTAAGGCCTCTCCCTTGCCCACATGCTAGGACAACACAGTTACAACCCTTGCAGAACAGAGCAGAAGCTCTGAGTATTCCAGACTTCCACACCACCACTCATATGTTTTCCTCAGAAGTCCATCAGGTCTATGGAAGTAATGATTAAGGCAGAGCAGCCTAACAGTCCAAATAGAGAGGACTTGTCTGTAGGTTGTTTTGAGAGTGACATATAACTACCACAAGTTAGCCATGAAGAGGGGATTTGTAATGCCTGGATGTAAGGCAAGGGGTAGCTCCAAACACTATTCCCAGGTGCAGGCTCAAGTGAAACAGCACCTGGAAGAGTGTGTATAATTCCAGTAACTGACAGCCAGGAAAAATTGTTTTCAATTGGAAGAGGGACAGAAAATGGCTAGGATAATTGGGGAACTGGAGAAGCTGTCCTGTAAGAGAGATGAGAACAGGTGGTGGGATCAGTCTAGCCAAACAAAGGCTCAAAGGGATTTCAGCTCGTGTCTATAAATACAGCAAAGGAGAAGGAGCTACGGGACACAGTTAGCAGTAGGAAAAAAAAAAAAAGAAACCGTGAGTGACTGAGTTTTGATCAGAAATTAGAAGACGTCCTAGCTCTCAGAGCAAGAAGGTTCTTGGAGCAGCCTTCTCATTTAGAAAGAATGGGCAAATTCATAAACTTATTGTTAAAAGAATGCCAGAAGCTTATGAAAAGGATAGTATGGTGTGGTGCTTTCTGCAGCAGAATTCTGAAACCAGTAACACAGAAGCTCTGCCATTATTAAATTAATGTTCTTAGATATGATAACTACACAGGATCTGGAACCACCAGTGGGTGACTGGTGCAGGTTAGCTACAGTGGGGACCTCCCAGCATGCACTGACTCTTTCCCCCAGGTCTACACTGCTCCCTGCCTTGCCAGGGCTGTCCTGTGAGACCGGGATGGGTTGAAGGTTCGTCGCAGTTTTGGGTCTGCTGGGTGGATGCAACTTTGTGCTGAAACTGGTAGGTGAAGGAGCAAACTGCAGCTCATGCACAGCAGTAAGCAGGGACTTTACTTTCTTTCTGTGTAGATAGTGGAAAAATAGAGCAATTGTCACATGCTGGCTGTGGGGTAGCTGGTGCACTATCAGACCCAGATGCAACTGTTCTGTGTGAAAAGGTTGGATCAGTCCAAAAGAAAAATGGAGATATGAAAAAAATTGTTGAAAGCAGGGCTGTTGCCTGTCTGCCAGGTGTATTTATTTCTATCTCTAATCTTTGACTATTTTCAGGTTCAAAAGAATATGAATTTTATAAAGCCTTGAATTATTGAATTATTTGCTACAGAACTATAGCACAAGGAAAGATGTTTTTCTTTCTTTTAAACATAGTCATGGTAAAAATTCTCATTGGGTGTCTGGTAAGAGCCCAAACATGTATCTCAAAGCCAAGACTAAGGGTTATGTCCTGGGCTGTGCTGCTGCTATTTATGCACTCTGCGGTGTATTGCTTAATTTCTTATGCCTCCACTTTGCCTTGTAGAGATCAGTACTGATCCATTTTGCAGTAGTGCAAGACTATGTTCACACAGACTCAAAGGTGCTCCAAGATCCTCAAACATCAAGGACTATTGGATGCATTATTATTTTATTTTTATTTTTATTTTTGGTAACAGGAATGCTTTGACTGGATGAATATTAGTGAATATGATGATTGTCAGTGTATTTCTGAGTGGTAAGAGAAGCACAGCCCATGATCCAGTGCAGGAAATTTTGTAAATGCAGATGAGGCAAGCCATGAGGATGGGAATCCCAAGGCTGACTTGGCCATTCAAAAATGCCATTGAAAGGGAGACGTGCCATTTCTGTCATTTTGTCACCTAAGAAACAAGCATATGAAGAACTGAAAGGACAGTCAGAAATGCTTATGCACCCTGTGGAGGATAAATTGGGTCTGATTCCCAGGACTGGCCTAGGAGACATTTCACCAG